AGATTTATTGAGATCTCATGTTTCTGTCCAAGCGCTGCTGCTCTGCTTGTGCACGTTACTCATGGAGCGAGTATCCTGTGATAGCATTATGTAAAAAAAACAAAGTACCAGTACATCTTGTTACAGTCATTCTCATCTCGCTTTTTGTCAGAATCCTCCACTATTATTCATGTTTTGTAGTACCACTCCGAATAGACGCTTCATTTCTCTCAAGCGTTTATCGAGCTTATTTATATAGCTTGCAGTTTGCCCAAGCATCAATTCCCCGTCACTTTTTTCCTCATCGCTCTAGGTATGAAACCAGAAAAAAACTGCAGTCAACGAAAGGGTAAATGTGAAATTGAAGCCAGTCATAGATTGAAGTAGCCAGTAAATTTTTCTCGCTTGCATTCGCACGATTTCGATCTCAGCAGATCCAGTAATGAAATCAACTCCCAGTTAATCGGATCTTTCCATTCTTCCCTAGAGATTACATAGCAATTTGCACAATTGGATTTCGTTATGACTTGCCTTTTTTGTTTGTCATTCTGGAGAAGTCATCAAACTCTGCACTATCAATCTCTTCACGAGTGGCTCACAGCTACCTTGGAAATCCTGGTTGAGAGCCCTCGGGTAGGAAAGCTCAAATGGTTGTTTCCTCATTCTGTTTTAATAGTATTTCGTTAGCCGCTGCATATGTGGCTCCTCAGTTTCTCTTATTATCGCAGGCCTGCAAAAATATCTACTTGATCGCTTATAGTATTCAGACCTCTTTCAACCATCATCACCGGTGTCAGTAGCTGATGTCTGAGAGGTTGGCGCAGAACAAGCCACTGCGAAAATGGGACAGAATGTGTAGGTGCTTGGTTACTGTTTACAATGTGACAATAACTGCTTTCCCACAAGAAAAATGTCTGCCTGTCATTCAAGTGGGTTGTTTCTGGTAAAACAAGGGGAGGTTTTGCAGATAGTTACCGAATTTGTTCAGGTTTGGTAGATGTTTTGCGTCTTGCACGACTGACTATTTTTGTACAATTTGTAAAGTTACATGCGTGCAGGTCAAGCATGGAAGTAGGCTTTCTAGACATGACAGTATTGTTTGAGAAAGCGACAGCTATCCTATTACTTCAATATCTCTTACAGAGAATTGGTACGAGAGCGTGAGTACTTCAATGTACTGCATAACTATCGCAATGATGCCTATGCGTTCTGCGGGGGTAGAATTCATGTAGCGGTAAGTACTGACCATTATAAAGTTTCAAGTATGCCATTGCTTAGGAGTAATTTCCTTGGGTTTGCATCAACCAGTTTGCGAGTTTGTAAACAGTTATAGTTTTTAGTTACTATTCCCCCCCCCCCTTTCTTTCGTACTTCGACAGTGTTTCGTGGAAAGTAAAAGAACATCTCCTTATTTCGGAGACGGAGTAAATATGGCTGATACGACTCATTGGGGGGTGTAGAAAGAAGCGCATTTATTATTTCAAGATCTATTCTTATCGTGAATTATGCAGTGATTTTTATGCTCGGTACATGTGTAAGCCGGACCCAATCCGCTCTAGGCTCATTTTCAAACGATAAAGACGTAGGCGTTCAAACACGTTTTTCGAAGGATAACATTTTCAAAGCGCTAATTTTTTCAGCTACTTACGAAGATCATAAGCGTTGGTGTGCTTCCAATGTATGCACTGATTTTGCTGTTTATGGTGTACTTTGGTAACGCTACAGCAATCATGTTTGCTCTTATTATATTAGGCTAGTCAATTTTCGCTATTTTTATAAACCAGAGATAATATTACCGTGTAGGATCCGTTGCAATTACGACAGTCTATGGGGCTTTCAAAGGAAGCAAGATGTGCCTTGTTCCTTTCGTTTTCTTGCAGGTATGAAGGAAGTAAATTTACTGCTGAGTTTGTGATCTAGTTCTTAGAAAATGGAAGCTATAAATAACGTGCTCCTGAACTTGTTTTCAGGTTGTGTTTTTCATTTACGATCTTGTTCTTCTTGGTTTGTTCACTATGGCTTTGCTACAATCGGACTTTGCATTGCAGTCGTACGCTGTCCTCAAAACGGACAGTAATCACTTTCATTTTGTACCCATCTTTTTCTTTTCATACTTACTTTGTTTAGTTCTACTAATCGCATCCGTGGTATTACTGTCATCTCTACCACCGACAGCATGGATTGCTTATATAGCATACTTGGACATTTTGTTCATTGCTGAACTCGATCGTGGCCTGGAACTTGTACGAGAGCTCAACGGCAACGCTACGAATGAAGATTTGACGACAAAAAACAATTATTGAGATAGAAGTTTTGATTGCCTAGATCTTGCTCATATTTCTCACACTTCGAAATTTGAAGACGAATTTGAGTCATTAGCCCTTTTCACTTCACAGTGCTCCGTTTTTGAATGAATTTCTACAGTAAAAGAAACATAGAAAAGTGGGTGTGAGATGAGCCAAGCCCAAGAAATAAGGCTTATGTTACTGATTACCTATTTTTCAACAAACTACATTGCTTTCGTATCAGAAACATTTTCTCAGAAATATTTACCTTGACAGCCTATAAGACCTCTAATATAGTGTGTTAACAGGTCAATTCAAGTTTTGAATATATCTGAAACTCCGAGGAAGACAGAGGTAGATAAAATGAATGAATATGCACAAGTATTGA